TTGTGAAGCTGTTCTTCTTGCTTACTGAGTAGTTAAATTTTGACCTGTCTCTCGTATCCTACAACCATGATCCATGAAAACTGGTATATACGGCCCCCAAAAACGATAACTATAGGCGTATTGCCTACATCGTGGAGTCGTCATTTTTTTCTACTGACTTTACCATATTTGGATTGCAGATTGCCCCTTATATCCTGCAATTGTTTCGTTAATTTTCGAAATGCCTATGAAAACCCAATTATTAGAGCTACGTGGCATTTTAATGGTACTAAATCCTCATCCAGTAGTTTTATTGACTTTGCAGTCATAAGTTTAGAAGAGTGGAAACAGAGATGAAAACAAGTCTCAAACATATTAGAAAGATGGCGATGCGTTCAGTTTGTTTTCATATAATTTTTCAAAACGTGTTGCCGGCTGGTGCTGTAATTTCAATTCAATTTCGCATCCACAACCTACACATGTAGACAAATGTCTAGAAATTGTTTACACATATAAGCCAAAGAAAAGGTGTTTTTTAAGATGCACTCTAATATTTTTGATTAATGTCTGTATTCAGTTATGCTCAAAATAGAATAAGGTTCTGTAGATCCATTAGCGCCATCAACATATCAGAAATTCTCCACAAAGCGTCTTGCTTGCACCACTTATGAGTCACAAACTTTCATCACATTCTCCCAGAATCTTGTGAGCGAATGTCAATATTGGAAGCGAAATTGTGGTTGTCAGAAAAATTTACATTTTCGCCAAAACACTGTAACTATTCGCCACCAACATTCCCTTCCTTTAATGCCTTATTGGGAATTCTATTGACGAACATATAGGCCTATCGTAATAAAAGCTTCATGTTCCGTAACATTTTCTCATTGTCAACGTTATAGATGAAGTCTTTCCTGCTGCTTCTGGCTGTGGTGCTTGTCGCCGTTCATGCAAAGATGCAAAATGTCACAGTCAAAGGCACGACCATTTGTAATAAAAAACGAATGGCTGACGCTTTGGTGGAATTGTGGGAGAGGGACACTCGTAAGTTGTTTGTACAGTTTACATCTCTAGACTTAAGTTTGAGATTTGTTGGGGAAAGAGCAGAGGACGAGAAGAATGTTATCCTATCGCGTTTGAAATCAAGCATCCCACAAGAACTGAATTAATACTTACTGACTAAAATTTCAGTTCATCGAGATAATTAAAAACTAGAAAATAACTG